AGGATACAGGAATTGATAAAGAAAGGAGAGAGAGGGAGAAAGGGGAGGGGGAGGGGAAATGACCACTGTAAGTTTTAAAAAAATTTAACAATCAGTAAGGGTACAAGATGAATTTAATGGCTGGATGGTTACATTTGTGATAGTATAATAGCCAACACCAAAAAGAAAGATCAGTAAATACTACTATTACTCATATTTATGCATCAATCACTAAAGCCAGGGATAATGAAATTAAAGAATTCTAACAGCTTCTTCAATCTGAAATTACATGTAATCAAGATGCATTGATAGTTACAGGTGATTGGAATGCATAGGTCATTAACAAAGAGGAAGGATCAGTTGTTGGGAAATATGGCCTTGGTGACAGAAATGATGCTGGAGATCACATGATAAAATTTTGCAAGAACAATGACTTTTTCATTGCAAATACCTTTTTAAATAACATTTAAAAATGACTATACATGTTGACCTCATGAGATAGCCTGTGCAGAAATCAAACTAACTACCTATGTGATATGTGAGAAGAGAAGATTGAAAAGTTCCATATCATCAGCCAAAACAAGGCCAGAGAAAACAGTGGAAGAGACCATTAGGAAATTCACCCTGAAGCTGAAGAAAATTAAAACAAGTCCACCAGAGTCAAAATTTGACCTTGAATAGATCTCACCTGAAATTAGAGATGATCTCAGTAACTGATTTTATGCATTAGACAATAATGACCAAAGACCAGAAGAGTTGTAGGATGACATCAAGAACATTACACAGGAAGAAAGCAAAAGATCATTAAGAAGGCAAGCAAGGAAAAGACCAAAAAGGATGTCAGAAGAACTGAAACTTGCTCTCCAGTGAAGAGATGCTAAAGCAAATGGAAGAAATGAGGAAATAAAAGAGCTGTACAGAAAATTTCAGATGACAGCTCTGGAAGACAAGGTAAAGTATTATAATGAATTGTGTAAAGTCCTGTAGTTAGAAAACCAAAAGGGGAGAATATGCTTAGCATATCTCAAGCTGGAAGAATTGAAAAAAGTAAAGCATCAACATGCAGTATTTAAGATATGGCATTGAAGGATCAGCACTGGGCTACAAACCACAAAGTCAGCAATTCAAGCCCACCAGCTGCTCCTCAGAAACCCTACACAGGGTCGCTATGAGAACCGATTTGATGGCACTTAACAACAACAACAATAGGCAAAATATTGAATGATGCAGACAACATCAAAAGAATATAGAAGGAATACACAGAGTCACTGTATCAAAAAGAAATGGACGATGGACAACCATTTCAAGAGATAGAATGTAATCAAGAGCCAATAGTATTGACAGAAGAAATCCAAAATGCACTGAAGGCAATGGCAAAGAACAAGCCTCCAGAAACTGATGGTGTACACACTGAAATCTTTCAATAAACTGATGCAGCACTGAAGGCATTCATCTCTGCCAAGAAATCTGGAAGATAATTACCTGGCCAGCTAACAGGAAGAGATCCATATTTGTGTCCATTCCAAAAAGAAGTGACCTAACAGAATGTGGAAATCATTGGACAATATCATTATTATCACATGCAAGTAAAATTTTGCTACAGATAATTCAAAACAGCTGTAACAGTACGCTGACAGGGACTGCCAGAAGTTCAAACCAGATTCAAACAAGGGTATGGAATGAGGAATATAATTTCTGACGTCAGATGGATTAGAAAGATGTTTACATGTGCTTTACTGACTACACAAAAGGCTGTTGATTGTATGGATCATGACAAGCTATGGACAACATTGTGGAGAATGAGTATTCCGGAACACTTAATGGTGCCCAAAAAGAACCTGTACATACAGCAAGAGGCAGTCGTTCGAACAAAAAATAAGGGGACACTGTTGTTGTGAAGTGCCGTTGAGTCAGTTCTAACTCAGTGTCTCTGTATAGGGTTTCCAAGCAGCAGCTGGTGAGCTTGAATTACTGACATGCCATTCAAACCAACCTTGCAATCTAGTGCATTATCTCACAGAGCCACACCAGTAGTTCAATTGGCACTGAATGGTTAAAAATTAGGAAAGGTGTTCCCCAGGGTTGGATTCTTCCACCATATTTATTCAAATGTATACTGAGAAAATAATCCAAGAAGATCGATTATATGAAAAATAATATGACTTCATCATTGGAGGAAGATTCATTAACAACCTGAAATACGCAGATGATATATCCTTGCTTGGTGAATGCAAAAAAACTTAAAATACTTACTGATAAAGATAAAAGACAACAGCCTTCACTATGGGTTGCAGCTCAATGTAAAGACAACAAAATTCCTCACCACTGGACCAACAAATAGCATCATGATAAATGGAGATGAAGTTGTCAAAGACCTCATTTTGCTTGGATCCATTATCAACACATATGGAAGCAGCAGTCAAGAAATCAAGCTACATATTGCATTAGGCAAATTTGCTACACAGAAGCTATTTAACATATTCAAGAGCAAAGATTTCAGTTTGAGGACTAAGGTGTGTCTGACCCAAGCCTTGTTATTCTCGATAGCTTCATATGTGAAAGCTGAACAGTGAACAAGGAAGATCACAGAAGTACAGCCAGAATGCTCCAAAGAAGACATATTATCATGAGGGCCCAGTTGCTGGAGAAGGTCATCTAGATAAAGTGGAGGATCAGCAAAAAAAAATTGGAAGACCCCCCTTCCCCCACACCCCACCCCACGGAAATGGCCTGGCACAGAGGCAGCAAGAATGGGCTCAAGAGTAACAATTGTGAGGACAGTGCAGGACCAGGCAGGCAGTGTCTCCTTCTGTTGTGTGTAGGGTCCCTATTAATCGCAGTGGACTCAACAGCACCTAACACCACTACCAACAAAGTTACATTTGTATTTGTATCTTCATTCATGTGCCCTGATACATAACTGTGTGTTCTAGGAGCAGTAACTGTTTCCTGGCAATAGAAGACTCCAATTCATGCAGAACTTTTATATGATATACCCAGTTATGCTGGATCACTGTTCTAACACTGTGCATTAACTGTGGAGACTTTTGCAGCCAGCAGTGTGGTTCTTTTTAGATTCTTTTTATCCGTAGGAGGGAATTGCTTCAAAATCAACACCCCCTGGCCTGATGCGCCTAAGATGAAATTTAACAGCAGATATGAATCTTGACCTCATAGGTGACACAAGAAATAAAACTGCAGCATTTCATGAAAAATTCTCTGTTTGCTAGTCCCCCACTGAGTTAAGCTACTGCACCAGCAAACTACTTTCTATCTTGATTGGTAATTTTTTCATTATGTGAACTAATGAGCCATTGGTCTACAGCCGAATCTTTATCAAATGTATAAAAACATTCATACATTAACAACAGAAATTTAGTTAGTCCCACTGATCCAACTCCACTCCCCCCCCCAAAAAAAAAACCAGATGCAGAAATAGAGGATACATAACACTTTTGTACAATCACCCAAAACAGAAATCATTAAATTCAGTCCCCCCTCATTTTTATCATTACATTACTATTCATTCAGACATATTACTTTTTAATGTTAGCCTTAATATGTCTTCAATCTGATACAAAGAGCATAGCATCTGAAAATAAAACATTAACCTATTTATAAATTTTTCTACTGTGACTTAAATAGAAGTGAATGTCACTTACTTTCTCAATACAGAAATTCTGGTTTTAAAAATGTCTAAATTTGTTATTTATTAAATTATGTTATGAAGTTATTTCAACATATTGAATTTAGGGGACTGGAAGAACATGGTTAAAATAATGAAACTTAACTTTGGAACAAGCAATTCAAATGAAGTATTTTTTCTGAAACATTAAAATGTTAACATTTTGAAGCTATTTACTACAAAGATATTATCAATTACTTGACAACATGTCTTTTATTAACATGTATAAATGGGATTTAAAAAAATACACATGAAATCATTCTGAAATTTTAAAACATGTTCAAATACATTTAATTAGGAAATTTAAAAATCTATAAAACCTCACATGAATATTTCAGAGTTTAGATATTCGCCACGGATACTATAAGATTAATGTATTTTCATGCTAAATAAGTAACTACCACCATCAACTGGCTACAAATGTACACATCTTAGTTCTATTTTAACTTTTAACCTGCTCCATAAAAAGCACCCTGGTTGAAAGTTTTGTTTTTTTTATCTAGATGGAAAACTAAGGCATGACTGGCTATTTGGAAATCAACATTGTTGTTTTTAGGGGCCAGCGAGTTGTTTCCAATTCATAGCAACCCTATATTAGGTTTCCAAGAAGTCGCTGGTAGGCTTCAGCTGCTGACCTTTCGGTAAACAGTCCAGTGCTTATCCTTTAGGGGAATATCAAAACTCCAGGAAATCAATAACTAATAAATGATGGTTCTAATTATTTTATTAAGCCTCAAAAGAAATATTTACTTCATTAAAAATCAGGTCTCACTTCAAAGCTTTAAAAAAGATCTTCAGCAGTACTGAGAAAAATTGCACAGAACAGTGGGCAAATTTATAGAGAAACAAATTTTTTAAATTTCCAGGAATGCCTTCATTGTTGTAGATGACACTTTAAAAGGATATACTACAGAAAATAGTTTTTCCAGAATATAATGAAAACTGTTTTTCAGCACTTTTAGAAGTGTAAATACGCTTCTGATTATGGAAAAATGAAATTTGAAGTCAACTAACTTCCACAAAATACTTTCACGATTTCACTGCAACAAATTTAATCAATAAATGTAAATTATGTACAGACACTGCCTTCATTTAGTTCTACTGTTCAAATATTTTTTTATTATGTAAAATATAATTTTTACACTTCTTAGTTACAGCACAATTGTATAATGAAAACAATTCTACCAGCAAAAAGAAATAAACTTTTCAGTCAGGAAATCTCTACAGCACATATTTTTAAAATAATAATAATATTCATTCAATCCATTTTCATATAAAGAGATTGTATACTCAAGTTCTCTTGGGCTCAAAAAATCAAATTTAAACTGCATCTTACCTTCTGTATTCGGTAAGAAGCTGATTATAATGATAAACCACAGACTTCGCATTCTGCAACCAGAAGACACCATTATTGATCCCTTTAAATATTTTCTTTGTATTCCTTAATGAATCTAGTTATAAATGCCCAGCTTCATCGAACCCAGCAGTCTGCATCATTGATCCTCATATCTGAAAAACAAACAAATCCATCATTTATTCTATGATACTGCTCCATTGCAAAAATAATAGCAATTCTATTCCCCCCATCCTCCCTCCCTCTCATAAAACAATCATGGCATGTATTTTGATTCTATATCCAACATGGTAACTGCTTAGTTACACTGGATATATATGTCATAACAATTCTAAAAACTGGTCAAAGAGTAAAAAAAAAAAAATTTAAATAACTTCTTAGAACAGTTACATTAATTCCTGATGATGATTTTTCTTAGAAAACTATAATATAGAATGTCTAGAAATTTGACTCTAGGTTAAAACAGCATATGTTTTTCCATGACATGCTGTTGTTATTAAGGGCCATGAGTTCCAACTCATAGCAACCCTATATAAGGTTTCCAAGGAGCAGCTAGTATGTTTGAACTGCCAACATTGTGGTTAGTGTCATTGTTGCTAAGTGCCACAGACAGTCAGTTCCAACCCATAGCGATGCTGTGTGGGGTTTCCGAGGAGCAGTTGGTGAGCTTGAACCACCAACCTTGTAGTTCGAACCGACTTTTCAGTCTAGTGCATTAACCAACAGTGCCACTCCAGGACTCACTGTTAGTAGTCCAGAGCTTATCCTACAACAGCACACTAAGTCTCCCCATGACACATATCACTCTTTTTTTCCAAGTACCATATACAGTATGGAGTTCTGGTGTGGTGATGTGAGTTATGCACTGGACTGCAAAGTCAGTTTGAATGGCAATGTTGGCAGTTTAAACTCACCAACTGTTCCTTAGAAACCCTATTCAGGGTCACTGTAGTTCAGAACCGACTCAAGCTGCACTTAACAACAACATATATAGTATGGACGCCAGGTTTAGCTCTGTAGGATAGTGCTCTACTGCAAGGTCAGTTTGAAATGAAGGGGTGGTTCAAACTCACCAGCTGTTCCATGGAAACCCTATACAGGGTGGCTGAGTTGGAAAAGACTCCATAGCACTTAACAACAACGTATATAGTATATGTCCTGCACTTAACAACAGCAACATATACTTTATGTTAGTACTGCCAGGTCAGTTCTGACTCATAGCAATCCTGTATAAGGTTTCCAAGGAGTGGCTGGTGGGTTTGAACCACCAACCTTGTGGTTAACAGTCCAATGCTTATCCTACAGTAGTACCACACCAGGACTCCAGACATAGTATATAACATTTCTAAAATGAAATATTACAAGTACATACACTTTTTTGTTTCTAAGGAGCCCTGGTAGCGTAGTGGATTATGAGCTGGGCTGCTAACCTCAAAGTCAGTAGTTCAAATCTACCAGCTGCTCCATGAATGAAAGATGAGGCTTTTTGCTCCCCTAATGTTTTACATCCTCAGAATCCCTATGCAGAGTCACTGTGAGTCAGAACCAACTCGCTCGCACACAACCACCACCAACTCCAATGTTGGTTAAACAGCAGTAACATCTACTAGTACCCAGTTATCTTATATACAGAATAGAAATGTAACAAAACAGTATTTTTTCTATACAATGGTAAAACTAACAAACGGGTGTTCTCTAATTTATATAATAAAGACATTCTTCAAATACCACATTCTTAAAGCATAATATATCCAATTATTTCTCTCATTGCTATTTATTAACAAAAATAGTTAAATAATAAAATTGTCTAGCTCCCTACAGAAATAAGTTTTAGATATTTCATATTCTATTTTTGTGTGTGATTTGGTTCTCTCTCTTTTTATAGTAGACTATAATAAACTACATTTTTGATTTCACTGGACTCAAATGAAAACCCAAGACCATGACTTTAACTCAATGGTTAAATCACTAATTTTAAAAGATGGGCAGTCTAATTGGCTAGCCTTTAGCATCCAGTTCTCTAAACTGGTAAAGGCATAAAAACTTCAAGTATCTAACTTAATCAAAGTATTTCTTTATTTGTGAGTTTGCAAAGAGACCACGTCATCTGTTGGGATCTATCCAAACGCTCTACTTTATGGTCAGTTCTCAAGTATCTAGCCTGCTAGTCTACACTCTGAGAGCAACAACTTTTTAAAACATTCCTTTAAAGTTACATCATGAAGTTTCCATTTTTAATTTTTCCACTATTTTCTTCTAAGTGTTATTAGCAAGTTTCCTCAAGCCACCTTTAGCCTGATACAATTGAAGAACTTCGTAAGATAGTGATAGTGAGGGGAAACACCTACCGCATTTTGAGATTGTCTAGGTAACTAAAATAAAATGAACTTTTATATGATTTATTAAAGTATAAAGGAAAATTTAGGAAACAAAATTTCCTGGATAACTTAGTTTCCTATTTCACATTAGCCCAATAATAACAATGTTGCATTTACCACATAATAATAATATGCGATTTTCTTATCAGTTCACTGTACTCTATTTTGAAGTTCACCATCATGTAAATTCTAAATGATTTAAATTACTCATTACACTGTAAAATCACTACCATGTTTTACAAATACACTAAGACAAGCATTTTTAAAAATCTGATGTTATGTTTCAAGTATGTTGTTGTTGTTAAGTGCCATCAAGTTGGTTCAGACCCATGGCGACCCTGTATAGGGTTTCCAAGGAGCGCTGATGAGCTTGAACCGCCGACCTTGCATTCACACGACTTTGCAGTGCAATGCATTAATCCACAGCACCAAGCCAGGATTCCATAAAGATTCATAAAATCAATGAAACTAGCAACATAATTCTAAAATGAGTTTATTTTACTATGCCTAGAGCTTTAGCGTAACAGTGTGGCAATGTAAGATAAGTACTCGAATGTGAGGTTGGTTTGAGACACAAGATTGCTAGTTCAAACTCACCAATCACTCCTCAGAAACCTTATACTGGGTCACTATGAGTCAGAAACAAATTGACAGCACTTAACAACAGACTCCTGGTTTGGCAATGTAGGATAACACTGAACTGATAATCGCAAGGGGAGCAGTTCAAATCTACCAATTGCTCCTCATAAACAGGGTAGCTATTAGTTGGAACTGATTGGACAACATTTAACAACAACATAGCTTAGGAAGGAGCTACGTAAGTAACACAGTGGGTTACGAATTGGGCTGCTAACCTCAAGGTCAGCAGTTTGAATCTACCAGCAGCTTTGTGGGAGAAAGATGAGGCTTTCTACTCCCATAAAGATTTACAGCGTCAGAAACCCTATACGAATTCGCTGTGAATCAGAACTGACTTCATGGTACACATCCACCATAGTTTTCGAGATAAATTTGCTCCCCTTCATGACCCAATATTTTTAACTATCTATGAAAGTCACAGACCTTTAGGTATCATGATGAGGGGGGTGGGGTCACAGCTAGTTATTACTCAGTTCCATGTCTACCATAGACGCTTCTCCACCAAAGAAACAGGGTAAAAACAAAGGAAAGGACAAGCTGATACTTCTAAATGCCAAAAAACAGCAAAGGAATGGTATATCAAATATTAATCTGATACCCTGATAGAAATGGAAACAAATACAGAACATAATTCACTTATGAAGTGCAGAGTTAGCAGACCAGTTGAGAATAAAGGAATTCTTGAGACTATTTAAACCCTGAACAGAAACTATGTATCTCCTGAGGTCATCTTGTATTAAAATATCAAATAGGCACATAAAATAAAACATACTAACCACAAGTACAGTGCTCCTTTAAAAAAACATTTTTGGCACCCAAAGGCCAACAATTACTTGAAAACAAAGAAGAGAGGGTAAGGAGGCAAAGAAACTCTTTTTGTTGTTAAGTGCCATTAAGTAGATTTCGAATCGCAGTATAGGGTTTCCAAGGTGTGGCTGGTGAGTTTGAACTGCCTACACCATGTGGTTCAAACCAACCTTGCAGTTTGGTGCTTATCTTACAGCGCCACAACAATTACTCTAAAGATGAGAAGATAAGGGATGCAGGGAGACTTGTTGTTGTTATGTGCCATCGAGTCGGTTCCGACCCATAGCGACCCTGTATAGGGTTTCCAAGGGTGTAAATCTTTACGGGAGTAGAAAGCCTCATCTTTCTCCCGCGGAGCAGCTGGTAATTTCGAACCGCTGACCTTAAGGTTCGCAGCCCGATTCGTAACCACTACGCTACCAGAGCTCCTAGAAGGCTGGAAATGGAAAAACGGTAATACAAGTAAAGATAATGCTGACATACTGAAAAATGTAACTAACGTCACAAAACAATTTGTATAGAAATTGTCAAAAGGGAACCAAATTTGCTGTTTAAACATTCACAATAAATCTTATTTTTAAAAACTAATCTGATGGAAGCCCATGGCACACATTCCAAGAAAACAAGACTGACTAGTGCGATTCGTTTTTCAGTCTGAGTCCCCAGATTATTCCATAAGGCAACAATCAAGAGAAAACCTGTAGTTTACAATTACAGTAGCCAAGTTGTTGGTTAGCTGTCATCAAGTTAGTCCTCGACTCATATTGATTATACACATACTGGGATGAAATTCTGCTGATGCAGTGCCATCCCCATAACTGGTTACAGATGAGATGTTGTGATTCCCCAGAGTTTCCAAAGGCTGATTCTCAGAAGGAAATCACCATGCCTTTCTTCTTAGTCTGTCTTAGTCTATAAACTCCACTGAAACCTGTCCAGCATCAAAGCAACAAACAAGCCAACACTAGCTGACAGTAGTGGCTGTGTGTGAGGGTACATGGGTCCAGATTTAAACCCGAGACTCCAGCATGTAAGGCAAGTATTTCTACCAATGAACCAACAATGCAGAGTACCTGATTTAGATGCTGTCACTAGAGCACAAAGGAAAATTTAAATCTGCAGGCTACTCTATACAAAGCATAAGGAAATGTCATAACATTTCAAGGCTAATCAATAAATAATTTCTTATATCCCACAGACTATTCAATGATTTGACCAAGCAAAAAGAATTCCAATGTGTGGAAGAGGGGCATTGCTGCTACAAGTAAAATTAAGTCAGTCATTAAATTGCTCCTAACTCAAGCAAAGAATTTTGTCCAAGTTTTAGTTGT